CTAATGTTATTTTGAAGGGAGTAAATAATAAGTCTTTTGGATCCTCTCTTTTAAAATTGCAAAACAAAGAAAAGTAGGTTAGGGAATGGAAAGAAATTGTTGAATCTAAGAGAAGACTGTCTCTGTGGGTGTCTAACACTTTATGATCTAATGATGTACTAGTTTTCATTCAGCACTGCTAGACAGCACTGAAAGCAATCATAATTGAGGCATTGCCTACCGCATGAATATTATTATGACTTCTGCTTTTACTATGCTCTGATGACTCCTTGAACTTCTAGGGGTCACGTAACAATTGGTTTTGAGAGAACATTAATTGGAGGTTGGCTAAATGCGAGTGGGAAGCAAATTTCCCTCACTGACCGGTTCACGTTACACATAGAAAGGCTGCTGGCTTCAGAGTTGTGGTAGACCTGTGGAACCATAAGTTACTGTTCTTCTCAAGGTTGCCTTTTGTTGTCAGAACACTTAGCATAAGGCAGAAATGGTAGGCTATCCCTGAAAAGAACAAAACACCATTAAATATAATAAATCAGCATTTAAAAAACTATAATTATCAAGGCCATCTCAAACAGGAGTATACTTTTATATGACTAAAGTTGTAAAAATAAATAAATAAAGCAACAACAAACAAAAACTCAGTCTAGCAAACCCAGATTGATTTGGATGTTCTTTTTAATGTGATAAAGCTGAATGAAACCAAGCATGCTTGAAGCACAATGGTATAAAGCCTATATTAGAAAGTATTTGTGGTACAGATAAACAGAGATAAGAAATAAAATATGACCAAGTAGAGTCTTATGTGGGGATTCAGTTCTGTGTATATGTTAAAAATCAAATATAGTCGAAATACCCTTAAAGATTCCTTAAATTTCCCCTGAAATACAAATATAGATATATTGTTTTGCAAGAAGTCTAAATTGGCTTGTTCTTCCTTCAACATTGCTGTTCTTTTGTTGAGCAGATGCTGAGGGCATTGGCTATATTCTTTTTAGAGACTAAGGGTAGAATAGCAGAATTCGAAGAACTATTTATTCTAGGTTATGAAGCTGATTTGTCTTAGTTCCATGAATAAAAATACCTCTTGATTTTTTTCTTTTTTAAAAACAGGTAAATGAGAAAAGGCTTGTTTTCCAAATAAATTCTTGGGTACCAGAGATGCTTGGGATACCAGTTTTTCTCAGAAAGGCCTGTTCTCTTTTACACAGCATGAAGTATACCTCTTTGTAGCCCTAATTTTCCTGTGTGTATGTTTGTCATCTTGAGTCTCTTTCCATTCTGGTTCTACTCTGCTGTGTTGCCCGACAGGTACCTTTCTCAAAATTCTTATGAATATTTTTTCTGTATTTTTATTCCCATACTCACCTGTACTTGTCCTGTACTGTGTGTTTTTCTTGTTCTACTCAGAAACAGTACCATAATCAAATTCAAATTCAGTTATGGCACTTTTATTTATATTGAAAGGTAGCTTAGTTAGTATAATGGCAAGTACACTGAACTATGGTGTAAGACCTGGTTTAGGTTCAGGCTCTTATGTTAACTATGTAACTGAGAAAGATGTTTCGCATCCCTTAGCGTTAATTTTCTTAATTATGAAAAGTCAGGAAATATAGGTTGTCACAATCCATGTAAGACATCTTTTATGATACACTGGAACTCTTTGACATAAAGGTTATTAAGCAATGGGAGGAGTTTTTCTTTTTTGAATGCCAGAGTTCATGGAAATTCTTGCTGTATTGAATGATGAACAGAAATGTAGAGAAACTCATTGAAGATATTGGTTTATCTTTAGGTAGAGTGTAAAGTATGTATCCACTTTGAAAAGCATTTAAGGGTCTACCTGGCTATGTTACTGAAGATGTTAGAGCCATAAGGCCTAATACAGGATTGAAGGTTGAATTCTAGTTGCCTAGTTTTTTCTTGAGTAATAATCATTGCGGACTGTGTGTGTGTTTTAAAATGAAGAGCAAAATAAGAAACCAAGGAGGCTAGAGTAATTAAACATATTTTAATAAATTAAAATCGGTTAAAATCACATTTATCAATAATTTGATCAGTTAGAATTTTCCTGGAAGTCTATAGATTTATCTTTTATTTAATTTCTTTTATTACTGACAAACCTCAGTGAGCACCCACCAGCAGAAATCTGCAAGAGGTGGTTAGCATCCTTGGCTGCTGCTATTGATAAGTAGTGGTTGTGACCTCCTTTTAAGGGGCTGATAAGGAAGGAATCATTGTATATATATGGTTACATTTAAAAAGCCTTCCAGTATTTCCATCACTTCATTGTAGTTTCCATGGAAGCGGAACCACCATCACCAGCAGGAGTCCATTTCAACTGCTGGCTTCCGGTTCTTGTTTCTCTGTTACTATGGAGACTGCCTAGAAAGCAACAGAAAAACCAAAAGTTTAAAAAACAGTGATTTGATTACAAAATATGTTTTTTAACTCTAGCTTTAACTAGGTGTTCCACAATCTTGGCACTTTTGAATTTCAAATTATTTGGTGAGGTGAGTTGATTTTTTTTTTGAACAAAATACATTTTGAAGCTTTGTTGAAGCTTAAATACACTGAATTAAAAAGTAAATTTCTGCAGTTTTTATTAGAGTTGAGCCGAAGGTGGATAAAAAATTTTAAATGGGGATTTAAATTAGGGCTTGAAAGGCATAACCTGAAGTAAGAAGAGCTAATGATAATAGGAATAGCAGATTCTAAAAATGGTAAACAAGTAATACATAGAAATAGTGATTAGCTGTTAGTTATATGGCACATTTTATCTTCAAAGTATGTTATAGTTATTTAGGTGATTTTTACAAATTATACCTATTTTTCACCTTGGTAGAAGAGCCTTCTGAAACCTCGAGTTTAGAAAGTAAGTAAATTTTAAGGACATTTTAATTGAGGTTTGAGGAATTGAAGAGTTAATGAATATTGTTCCAGAATTAAAAAGCAACAGAGGTTCCCTCCCCCCCATACCAAGACCGGTTGTATTTGTGAGTTCCTTATAAAGGGGAGAAGAGATGGACTAGTAATGTGAAAGCTGTGAAAGGAAAGTTATTTAATGATTATGAGATTGTAATTACAATCCCATCTTTGTTGCAGTTTTTCTTTGAGATTTGTATTCAGTCAGGATTCTTTGGTTTGCATGTGCCAAAACCCAAATTTGAACTACCTTAGGCAAAGGAGGACAGGAATGTAGCTTCAGCTAAAGTTAGGGACTCAAGTAACACTAGGAGAAAGTTGGTTCTCATGAAATCGGGGACTAGAGCTTCCTTCCCTTCTTTTCCTTCCCTTCTTCCTTTCCTTGCCCTCTTCACTCCCTCTTCCTTTTCTCCCTACTGTATCTGCTTCTCTCTGTGTCAAATTCCTTCTTTTTGATTTTTTTTTTTTTTTTTTTCTTAGCATTGGCAGAAACTGGCTGCTGGCAGTTCCCACTCCTCTTATTTCAGCTTCAATATCAGAGCAAGTCCAGTTTGTATTGTGCCTCCCCACTCCCAGCTGTGGCCAGGAGGGTAGGATTCTATGGCTAACTAGACCTTGGTCATTAGAGGGACTGAGATCTAAAACAAGATAGCAGCTTTCATTGAAACCACCTGGTGATGAGGGGAAGGTGGGGTATAATGGTATGAAGGGGAGGAGAAAGAGGCATTTCCCAGAAGCAACAAGAGAAGATCTTGTTCCAGGCAGAAATAAAAAGAGGTTTCCACTAGTAGTCTTTTTGGGGGAAAACATCTGCTTTACTATAATCCAGTTCACCTCAGTTTAGCAAACCAGAAAACATTATTTTGAAGAATTTGATTTTGAGAGGAAAACCAAGGTTAAAAAGCTTTACAGTGTAGTTTTTCCTATATGACTCACTCTGTTGTAGTACCTTTTATATTTGTTGGCTCATTTAATCTTCACAATCATTAGAGGTATATATTTCCATTTTATGGAATGAGGAAGAGGTTCACAGAGGTAAGATGACTTATCATAGGTCACATGACTAGTGAGAGGTAGAGCCAAAATTCAGATAACCAATCAGGGTTTCTGGAATATAATCCAGGGCACTTTCTACTATGTGTTACTTGCTTTTTGGTTATCTTCATCTAGAAGATGCATAGAATGAATTATAAAAATAGTAGTATGTATTAAATGCTTTGATAAAAATGAGTTGTTTATGGTATAGAATATTATAGAGTAGTGTTTATGAAAGGAACCTTAGTGATCATATAGTTCACTGGTTTTTAGACTTTTTGATTTTCAGCCATGGAATCCTTTCTTCAGATGAAATGCTATATCTTAGTCAAGTATTTAAAATGGTTAAAAATCATCCGATTATAGAGAGGCAAGAACCCAGTACTCCATGGGCTTCAGCACCTCTTTTTTTCAGGTCTTGAGTTCTTTGGAGGCCACTTTGAATATCCTTTGTTTAGGGAAACTAAGACCCAGACAGGGTAAATGATTGTTTATTTTCACATAATTTTATATTACAGGGATTTCAATATGTTATTTTCACTTGGATGATAATTTGTTGCTAATGAAAAGACCATGAAGCTTATAAAAATCAGAATGAATTCAGGGTCACCCTAACTATTAATAAATAGTTTTATTCTCCAGTTTGGTGGTAGCTTTACACAGTGTACAACATATCAATGCTAAATTAATTAATGTTCTTATTAAACATCTGTTACATTTGGTCATATTTGTTTACTTGGACAGCTGTATACTATCTGGAATAGGATTAGTCTTTTGTCTTCAGAGTTTTTACACTACATTTCTTATATATTTGACTCCTAAAATACATCAAGCTCTCAATACATATTTAAATAGGAGAATTAAAATTTAAGTAAATGAAATTCTTGGGGGTAATATTTAGACCTCACTGATATTATTATAATTTTTATGTCTTTTTCAAGTTTGAATATCTCTTCTTTTCAGATAGAAATATGAATAAGTAGTGAATGGGGTAAAAGGAAGTTTATTTTTCCCATGTCCAGAATTTTGTTTTCTTCTTTTAGGAGAGTCAAGCCCTACTCGTCGAGAAGCGGTGAAGAGAAGAACAGCAGAGTATCTCATGCGGGCAGAAAGTATCTCTAGTCTTTATGGGAAACCTCAACTTGATGATGTATCTCAGGTATGTCTTTTGTTTTGTATTTTCTTCAGCCATTTTTTTGCTGTCTTCACTCAGCTTTGGTTCTAATTTAGAATGTTTGAGAATTTTTAATGTTTGGAATTTTCTCACTAATTTCCTTAAAAGTTATTGGTGGAATGAAAAGCAATATAGCAAACCACCAAATGTGGAATAAAATGGGACTTGCTTTCTTCTTTTCTTGGCCCTTTGTCAGTCCTTTACTGTACCCTTAATCTCCCCATCTATAGATTGACAGTAACTTATACTGTTACGATATCTGTCTGTATTTCAGTTTCCTAAAGTTAAATTATCATTTTTGTACAATTCCTATATAGTTTTATTGATTCATGCTAAAACCATTCATTTTAAGCATAAATCCTACAAGTATCTGCTGTAGGTCACCTGGAATTATAAAGGCATACTTGTAGCAGGGATATGTAGGTTATTTGAGATTTCCCCTGGACTTGTCCAAAAGGCAGATGAATGCTTACATTAGAAACATTGTGGTCTGTTATTGTTTTTATGTCATATCTATCTGGATTTGGCAATTTCTGGAAGAAACCTCTCTGTTGTTTTCTTTATATTAAACTAAGTTTTTCTTTTTTTTTTTCCTCTCACAACACAGATAAACTAAGTTTTTCTGATGCAATTTAAGAATTGTTTCTTTTGGAGATGGGAAAAAGGGTTTAGTTTATTTTCTTAATTGATCTAAGAGTCAGGCAGACTTGTTTATATCCAGTTCTGGCACTTGAAGCCATAGAAGATTGGACAAAATACTTAATCCCACTTCTTAGTGTCATATTCTATATCTGAATAATGAGAATAATAGTAATTCCTTGCTGAGTATCTATTAGGGTTAAATGAAGTTAAAAAAAAAATCACCCATGTATGTACACACACACACACACACACACACACACGCACGCACGCACGCACACATAAACACAAAGTACCTACTTAGCACAAAGACCAGCCCATAAGCCAAAGACTGTCTTAATAGATTTTAGCCCCATTCTTTATCTCCCCTTTATATGCTGCTTTATATACTTTTTCCCATATTTTTTATGTTTTATATCCTTTTTAAGAATTATAAGTCTCAAATGTTTAGTTTAAAAATAGTCCAGTATTTAACCTTGATTCTTTGGACCATTGTAAGTTTTTATGGCTGATTTTTCTGAGCAATTTTCATTTTCTGTATGATCTTTTTATTTATTTATTTATTTTATTTTTTTTATTTCGGCATATTATGGGGGTACAGATTTTAAGGTTTCAATAAATGCCCTTTCCCCCCTCCCCCCACAAGTCTGAGTTTCCAGCATTCTGTATGATCTTTTAAAAATGCAGTTATGAAAACTGTACTTAGTGTAAGACATTATCTTCTGATAATTTTTGATGTTAAGTGGCCATTTCTAATAGAACAAAAAATTATATTTCAGCTTGGAAGTAATGCACTTCTATTACTTGTTCTAACGTAGTGATTATGTTTTAAATAACATTATCCTACTGATTCATTTTCAGATTATGAATTACTCTTCTAGCCTATATTCTGTTTGCTAATCTTTTCCTGTTCTCTATCACTGCCGTTTTAATTATATTATTAAATTTTAATTTCCTTTAACTTCTTACTATCAAATTTTATCTTTTTAAATAAGAATATTTATCTAGACATTGCTTTGAATTCAGTTTCCATTTTCCGTGGGGTTGGCAGCTCTCCTTGTGTGCAGTTCTGATGTGTACATTCTAATTTCATTTTGAGGGGCATTGATAAAACTAGTAAATAACATGGGCCCCTGTAAACTTGTTTTACTAAATTTATCTTGTATATATACATATTCTAAACATTTTAGGGCTTCAGAATTACCAGTATTCTATTCATTGTATTAATGTTAATGTTGAATGTTTTACTATACATATTCATTTAAACCCTTCCACCCCATGCAATCCTGTTACAGTTTCCCATAGGCATGTCTATGAAGCAGTAATTTCTTGGACAAATACATATATAAAACTTCTTATATAGTTTTTGACTTAAAGAATGGAACCGTGAAGAGTATCAGTTAAAATTTCCCTTTAAGCATAGTTTCTAATGAAATTAAGAAATATCTAATATACATTAATAAGCATCTGTTAAGACTCTGTATATATTAATAGCATCAAACTGGATATGTAATACTTTGGAGTTGTACAAAAGATGATGACACAGTCTCTGCTCTTATAAACCCTATAGCGTAATTGAGGGCCCTAATATGTACATAGTTAGAAAACAAAAGTTAAAGAGAGACTGATAAAAAGCTATGTAAAACAATGGGAGATTGTATCAGAAAGGGTAAAAGGCACCTACTGCATCTGATTTGTTATGTAGGATCTTATTCAGTTTTTAGGCGAGGATGCTAGAGGAGAGTAGGCATGATGGTTTTTATAATAGTAAGCATTTGCTTTTTTATTTTTACTTTTGCATTTTACTCTGTTAAGCTGGACCCTTATTGGTCACAAGCAAGCTTGATTATTTTCTTGCCTATAATTGAAGTTCACCCTCTTTCAGAGGCTTGTGGCTAGCTTGGTGAATTCATTAGGCTCTTCTTTAACCATCTTTGGGCCTGAATTTCAACCAACACAGTGAGAGAATTGGTATAAGTGATTTCTAAAGGCCCCTTTTCATGTATCAGTGTGCAAACATTTGTTTCTAGCCTGGTTGCTTACGAAAATAAAGGAATCCAGCCAGGTGCAGGGTGGCTTATGCTTGTGATCCTAGCACTTTGGGAAGCTAGGGTGGGAGGGTCATTTGAGGCCAGGAGTTTGAGACCAGCCTGCGAAACATAGCCAGACCCCACTTCTCCCCCCACCTCCCCCCAGAAAGAAAAATTAGCCAAGTGTGGTGATGTGTGCCTGTATTCCCAGCTGCTTGGGAGGCTGAGGCAAGATGATTGCTTGAGCTCAGAAGTTTGAGGTTGCAGTGAGCTATTTTTACTTTTTTTTTTTTTTTTTTTACTTTTACTTTATACCACTGCACCCTAGCTCAGGCACCAGAGTGGGACCCTGTCTCAAAAAAAGAAAGAAAAGAAAGGAATCCTTTTTGGCTTTAAAATTTTTTGTTGATTATTGTTTTCCTCTTTGGTGCAGTCTAAGTCATGACTCCCTTCACCCAAGTTTTCTGGGATGGTGTAAGCTTTTGCTTTATTAAACATAGGAGGCTATAGTAGTAAATATAACAGTTCTAAATTTCTCAGTCATTCATGTGAATATCCTTTCAGAAAGGAACAGAAAGGAGAAAAAAAAGTACTTTCCTACTCTTTTCTTCATAACTTCATTATTAGAAGACTCCAAGAAAATTTAGGAGCAGTTTCATATAAAAAAGAAATGAGCTTTGTTTGAAGTAGAGGTGAAATCTCAACCAAAGGAGACAGATTTCTTTCTTTCTTTTTTAAATTATAGATGACTTTGAATGATTTAAGAATTAATATTAAAGAGGATTTCCCTGGAAAAGACTATTACATTTTTGCTTTTTTTTTTGCTATAAGAACTTTAAATTCAAGATCAATGAAATTTAGAAAAAGACAGTGAATGATCTAAATTTAGAACATAAAAGACTGTGTAGTTTCTAAAATGTGAATACATTTTTATCATGCAATTACAAGGTGTGAATGAAAATTAATATGTAGAATGTATGCCTTTTCTGAATCTTTTGTAGATTCTGAGTACAACTGCTAAAATAATATTGAAAGTATTTTTTCCGTTGTGCATTTTATTTGCTGGTATTGATATTTTTCTGTTCCTTTTTAGAGAACATTTTAAAACAAGTATTGTTTCACCCTCAGTGAGACATGAGCTAAGCAGAGATGGCAAGTGGAGCATTCTAAATCAGTAACAGGTCGGCAGTTAAGTGTCAGGCTTGATATGTGACCTAAGTGAGGCTTGGAGACTGGGTATTGGGGTTAGTAGATTGCTCATCAAAGTCTTTGCAAAGCCAGGAATCCGTGGATGAAGCCAAGTTCAGGATGAAGCCAAGTTCAGGACCTCTGGCGTACTTAGATATCAGGGTTCTGTGTGTGGTTTCTTGATGTGTTCTTTGTGGTACTTGCTTTTGGCCCTTGATTACTTATTTTCCCCCAGTGATTGTGACTCTTCCTCAGGTTATTTGAGGAGGCATACCTTTTCCAAATGTGGTTGGTGAACCAGCCGCATCAGCATCCCCTCAGAGCTTATTGGAAATGCAGACTCTCAGGCCACCTCAGACTACTGAATCAGAATCTCCATTTTAATGAGGTCCTCAGGTGATGTGCATATACATTAAACTTTGAGAAGTACTGCACCAACAGATTGGTAAGAATAGAAAGAGATCTCATTGAGAACAGGGTATAAAAAATGAAAAAGATGGGCAGGCAAAACAGCAATTTAAAAAAGAACTCAAAAAAGAAACAAAAGAAAGCTTCACCTAGCCTTTTAGAGAATATAGAACACACTAGGTCTGAACTAGTTGCTAACTCTGATACACAAGTAGTGGCTGCCAGGAGCATTGTGTTGAGAAGAGTTGTGAGACAGTGTGGGATTAACAGAGATGTCTGCCTTGGGCCTGACCAGATAAGCTATAAATACTTGCCATCTCTGGTTTTGAAGATTGTTGGGTCATCATATATTCCTTTCTCTCTCCCCTCCTCTGCCCTTGTCTTTAGTCCTGGTATAGATGAGTACAACTACTTCTGCTCCTCTGGGCATCTTCTGCTACAGTAGCTAATAAATATACATGAAAATCTTTTTTTAATCAAGGAGATCAGCCATGTTGCCTAGAAATACACTGTCCTCCCCCCTCATCCCTCTTGTAGTGACAGGCTGAAGTTTCCCTTAACAATATTATAAGTAAGATTTAATCCTCTCATCTATTACCTATTTTTGTTATCTGTCATTTTATATTGCTTAACCTTGCTGCTTTTCCGTTTTCTCATCTGAAAACAAATATGAGAATCTTGGACTTGATCTGTAAGGTCTCTTTCTGCTCTTAAAATTCTATGGATTTGTTCCTGAGTGCCACCTTAACCAAAAAAAAAGAAAAAAAAAATTCTATGGATTTGGCCAGGTGTGGTGGCTCACACCTGTAATCCTAGCACTCTGGGAAGCTGATGTAGGCCGAATGCTCGAGATCAGGAATTCGAAACCAGCCTGAGCAAGAGTGAGACCCCGTCTCTACTATAAATACAAAGAAATTAATTGGCCAACTAATATATAAAGAAAAAATTAGTCAGGCATGGTGGCGTATGCCTGTAGTCCTAGCTACTTGGGAGGCTGAGGCAGTAGGATCACTTGAGCCCAGGATTTTGAGGTTGCTGTGAGCTAGGCTGATGCCACGGCACTCACTCTAGCCTGGGCAAAGTGACACTCTGTCTCAAAAAAAAAAAAATTAAAAAAAAATTCTATAGATTTATGTTTCCTTTTGCCTTCTGAAGAAAGGAATGGATCTATAGGATTCTACCCAATTTAAGCACCTCATAAGAAATATAAGTTTTTTTTTCTTGATGATTTCATTTCATGATCTTTCTTTGTTCATTTCTCTGATCTTAAACTTTCATAGATGGTTAAAGTAGAAAGAGAACTTTAATGACCACTTTGCCTTTGGTCTTTCCCCATTACAGTTTCCCCATTCCCATCTTTGCAAGAGTAACCTTACTATATCACTGTTTTCACTGGTTTTTTTCTTATACAAAAACTTGTAGTCTGGAGTTTTGGAGAATATAGTCAAGACATTTCTTCTTGGCAGTCAAGGCCTGTGAAAACTGACCATAAGTTTGTAATTTTATTTTCCTCTGTTCTCCAGTTTGAACATTTTTTCCCACACTAGGCTAGTGCCTTCCCATCCTACATAGTATATGATATCCTTTTCCTAACCTAATTTCCACATAGCATTCAAATCACCTTTTGTTCCATTCTTTCTGAGACCACAGTTTTTTCACACACTAACTAATGACTTATTTCTATTGTCCTCTGTTTTTAAGAGAATATTATTTAACTTTTCATATGTTTACCTTTTCTCCTGAAATAGATTAGGAACTTCTTGAGGTTAGGGACTGTGCCTTTTCATGATTTATATCCCTTTCAGTTATCATGCAGGTAGTGGATATGCAATAGTTATTAGTTGAAAGGTATATTAGATACTTTGTAGTTTGCTTTCTTTGCTTTTGAAATTGTTGACATGAACCAGTAACTTTGGACGCTGAAAGCTCCAATGACATCAGTGAATAAGAAGGTATAAATAGGAGATAGGGATGTTAGAGGCATTTGGCTGTATTTTCAAAGATAAATGTATTGGATAAAATATCCTTTGACGTGCTTTTGTTTCCCCTATAACTTTCCCCTAACATTCCTTTTGCCAGAATCAGAGGCATTTTATAATCTTTCTTGATAATGTATTAATAACAGAGGAAGGTGAATTTTTAATTATAACAATGTATCATGTACTGGAAAGACTGCAAACATTAGAGCAGGGAGCTAAGGTTCTGGTCCAGCATCTTCCACTGTTTCTCTTCCTTACCACAGACAAACACTCCGTCTTTCTGAGCATCCTTTATTCATTTGTAAAGTCGGGATAATAATAACTTCCTGTAAGTACCACACTTAGGGTGAGGGGAGGGATAAAGATGAAATAGCATAATATGAATTAGATAGTAGAGACTATTCTGTTATGTCTGTCTACATGTATAACATTAAAATACCTTGCTAAATGTTTTTCACATTCTTACAAATTCCCCTTAGATTTTAAGCTTTTAGTGATGCAGTGGTATAGCTCTTTTTTATGGCATCTAGCTCAGTAGCACATGAAGTGAGATATTAAATAAGTATTTTTTGATACATATTCAAGAAGTAGAAATTAAATCAATTTTAAAGACTGTTAAGATCCAGTCCAATTGCCACTATCACCAACTTTTCCAAGTGTTTTTAAGAAATAGAAGTCTCTCTTTTAAATCAAACATCACCATTTCAGGAACACTGAAATTGGCATTCTCTAGCTAAACCTGAAAACCAAAACAAACAAAACAAAAATTGAAAGCATTTGGAATTGCTGCGTTTAGAAAATTTCACAATGTTTCCTCTGTATTTTGATGATAGATTTTTGATAGCAATAAAGTCTGCTCTAAGTATATAATAAGGCTTTGTGTCTCCTGTCATCCTTTAGAGCATCACCAGTTTAAAATCAGGATTAATATAGCAATACTTCCTGGTTGTTAATACCTCCTGGAGGTGTTCTTAGAGTTTATCTAATACAATGCTTATTTTACTGATAGGGACAATTAAAACCAGTAGATAGAACTTGGGATTATTTTTTAATTGTGTGTGGTACTGAAATATCCCTTCCTATATTCACTGATTTTTTGTGGTCTTTTTTTTGTAGCTAATTGACTGTTTTCCACATAACAGATGTTCAAATATTTAAAGAAAAATTTCTTTGTGCTATAAATAGTCTCTTAAGTAACCTCAGTTTTAGTAATTATTGATTCTGTGACGAAGTTTCTTAATTTTTCACCATTATTGATAATTTTTCTGGTTGAACTTTAATCTACCAAGCCCACTTAAAACATACACATAGTGTATATTTGTAAAGTAACATAAAGGACTATAGTTTCGTGATGAGACAGAATGGCTTGTGGCATTCCCTCCCCAAGTTTATCCATTATAACCTTGTTTTTTAGTTAGCCCCCTTCTAAATTACTCTTGAGCTTTCTAGGGTAAATATAAGGCTGTACTTGTTTGTTGGCCTACTTATTCATTTGTTGCAAAGTTACATGATAGCTGTACAGTTCTGAGTTGAATTATTGCTCTCAAAACTATATCAGCTCATTAATTTTTCTTTTTAAAATTTTGTTTTCAATGTTATGATTTATTTACTTGCAACTTTTTTCTTGCTTTTTCTTTTTGATTTTCTTTATTTTTTATTTTTTTTACTTTACATTACAGACAAACAGAAACTTCCTCCTTTCATCTTTCCATTCTCTGATTTATGATAAATTTAGTTTCCTTTGGCCTGGCATTTGCTTCAGCAGGCAGCCTTCCTTCAAGTACCTCCCTGATTGATGTATAATCTTTGATATCTTCCATTAGCCTCCAGGATCACTAAGTTCAAGGCCCCCTTGGAACCTAAGGAGCCCTGCCGAGGAGCTGAAGGCCTTCAGAGTCCTTGGGGTGATTGACAAGGTAATTCTTCAGTGTCTCTTCAAGAGTTCAGTCATAAATCGACTGCATGCTGACATTCTGTCTTTGAAGCTTTGGATCTTAAGGATATGAAACAAAAGGAGAAAATGACTCAAATGCATCTGCACTTTAAAATAACAAAAGCAGGAGAGGAAAAAGCTTTTTATCTAAGCAATTCATGTAAGGTCATGCAAAATATATTTGAGCTAAAGGAGAAGGTGCATATTTGTTGGCATTCATTTGAGTAAGAGGTTTGGTTTTATAAAAGTGTTACAGGAGGGTAAAGATGCACTTTATGTTAGTTAAACTTTTGAGTCAGTAGTTGTTCAACATTAATTGATACAGTCATCCTAATGGTCAAAAAGAAAAATGGCATTCCCTAATAGCTACCATTTATTGAGCACCTACTATGTGTCAGAGTTTATATTGGGCATTTTATAAAAAACAACTTAATACTTCTTACAATCTCTTACTCTTTGCATCTCAGTGGGAAAGTGATGTTTAGAACAAGTTAAATAACTTACCTAGAAGTCACATAGCTACTTTAGGGCAGTACAAGGATTCAAACACCAATCTTTGTGATTCTAAAAGCTATGATTTTCCAGTACATTAATCTACCCTACACACACAGACACACACACATATATGTAAGGTTTTTCAGCAGTGAAAAGAAAAGACAGAGAGAGAGAGAGGGTGGGGGCCAAACCACGTGGCTTTATTATATACTCCTGGATGAGGTTCTGGTGCCCCAAGAGAGGGGTGCCCCAGAAGTCGCCTCCATTTGAAGGGGCTGAGGCCTTTTATACCCTTAGGGCCTGGCTAGGGACTTTTGGCGGGAAGAGCTGGGGATTTTTCCATTGTGACCTTGGGTGGTTATTGAGAAATAGGAAGGGCTGGAGGTATTTGTGGAATCCAGGAGCCAAAAACATTCTCATCGGGTGGACATCTGGATGTGGTTCCTCTCATCAGGGCCTGGCAGTTTTGTCCTTGGCAGGTCTGGTCTCGTGAGCCTTTTCTTTTTGATACAGGGAAGGGAGGGGGCCTGCCACCAGCCTTAAACATACACACGCATGCACTTTTATGTTTGGAATAAAAATACTGAGCTCACAGCTGCCATTAAGTACATGCAAATTTGGTGATGTCTCAGATATGCTTCATATCTGCAGTATTGGGTCTGTCAGGTAGTTTACTAGTGTAATTTTATGACCATAGACAATAAGCCATGTTTTAAATATATTTGCTCGACTACCACTGTACCATTCAAAGCAAAAGCAAATGCTTTATTTTTATTAATAAGGGATAAATTTATTTAGATCTTTTCCACCATTAAGCATCTTTAATGAAGCACCTTAAATGTTAATTGAGTACTTCTTGTGTTCTAAAGTATGCTTGTGATTCCATGCTAAATTTGAACAATATGCGGTCTATCTCTAGCAATTTAGACTGTTAACTAATAGTTTGAGGCATTCCAAAGGGAACATTAAGTTGGATATTATGTGAAGCTGTGTCATATTAAATTTTTACAAGCATCATTTTTCTCACATTCATATGAGTGAATTTTGAACATGAAGCATTCTAGACAGTAGGACTTGTTTTTTTTTAAGCCTGAAATATTACCATAACCATGTTTCCAGTTTGGAGAACATTCTGTTTGAGAGTAAATGGAAATAAAATAGTAATTGATGCCAGCGCGGTGGCTCACACCTGTAATCCTAATACTCTGGGAGGCCGAAGGGGGAGGGGAGATTGCTTGAGGTCAGGAGTTTGGGATCAGCCCGAGAAAGAGCAAGACTCCTGTCTCTTCTAAAAATAGAAAAATTAGCCAGGTGTGGGCGTGCATACCTGTAGTCTCAGCTACTCACTCGGGAGGCTAAGGCAGGAGGATCGCTTGAGCCTAGGAGATGGAGGTTGCAGTGAGCTATGATGATGCCACTGCACTCTACCCCTGGGCGATAGAGTGAGACTACGTCTCAGAAAAAGAAAGTAATTGAGTAGTTCCTAGGTTCTTGGATTTCTATGCAGGCAAGTATAGCTTCTTGATGTACAATGTCTGTCCCTTCCCTTAGATCTATTTCTTTTAACAAAGTGCGACCTTTCATTACTATGCCATAAGCATGAATAAGTCACCTTGAAGTCCTGGCAATAGCTATGAGTATCACAGGTATGTCTAAAGAAGGACTTTTGACAGTAGAAGAATTCCTAAATTCTATACTGAGACACAATTTGGTACTGTCTTAACTCTGTTTACCTGGGAAGTATGTTTGGTGTTTAGAAGGTGACATTTAATTTTTCTTAGTAGAGATAAAGGAATGTGTATTTTGGAAATTAATAAGCTTTGTCAAAATTTATAGTATGGGCTCTACTTGTGAAAACATGAATAGGTAGATTTTTTAAAAATTTGAATTATTTTCTGAGATAAATTCCTTTCCATTGTTCTGAGGAATACCCAAAATTTGGGTTTTAGAAACTTAAAGTATGGAAGAGAAGTGTTGAGTAACTTTAAATATACAGGATGTATTGATCTAGCTCCTACGGAACAGTTTCTTTGATTTTGTTTCATTATAGTATTTGTTCTTCATGAGTTATTTCAAATGTTATCCATTAACTTAAGAAAACACAGTTCTGAAGTGAACTGCATTAGGAATAGGATTTTACAAACTTTTATATAGAAAGTAAATAAAACAGATTTGTTCGTTAATATATAGGCTGTAAGCTCCATGAAACAAGATCATGTCTTTCTTGTTCACCGCTATATTCTCAGTACCTAGAATCATGCTTGGCACATAATGGGTGCTCAGTAAATCTGTTGAATAAATGAATTCTACTTAAGTAATTTAAAATATATATAGAGTGACACCTACTGGTATAATGAGAGACTGCTACTTAGTACCATTGTATGAGGTGACTTAGAAGGTGTTTACCCAGTGGGGATGGTAATTCTATAGTTGTATGTTGGTCTAGTATTTGAAGGAAAGTACATAAATTTCTGTTCTTCAATTGGGATTATAAAATACTTTATTAACATAGCTACACAACAAGGAATTTAAGCGTTGGCACTCTTGGAGTATAAATAAGCTGGTGTGCATTTAGAAGCAAAAATGATCAGGTAGTGAAGGCTCTCCAAATCATGTCATATGAAGAACAGCTGAAAAACAAGGAGATATTTGATAAAAGCATGTGTGGTCTTCAAATATTTGAGGGCTATCCTGATTAGAGGAACTATATAATGATTTGTTCAAATCTTGAGGGTGAAAGAGGATATTAATTATGCCAGAACAACAGGTACAAACTAGAATCATCTCAGGCAAACCAGGATGTCTAGTATCCTTGTGAGAAAGGTAGTGAGGGTAAGACTTGCTTGTTAATATCTTCCACAGGATACAGTCAGAGCCAAATAAATACAAATTCGAGGGAAACTGATTTTTGCTCATGATTAGAAATATCTTTCAAAAATTAGTATATTGACCAAAGGTGGACTGAATTCCTTTGGATCTTCTGAGTTTCTTGTCATTAGAGATATTTGAGTAAAGGCTGAAAGATCTAACATTGGTGGGGATGTTTTAGAGGGAATTCGAGCATTGGGTGGATTTTTACCTTAGGTAACTTTTAAAGATTTCTTTAAGCCCCCAGATTTATTTACACATAGTCTTTGTGTAGCAATAGTGGAAGAAAGTCCAAATTAGTGAAAAAACTGTGATAGGATGAGGAAGATGGATTACCATTTTTTATATAAGTTTTTATAGATGTGGGTATAATTCTTTGTTCGATGTGTGTGGTATGAATATATGAGACGTGTTTATGTTTGTGTATGAATATTGTCTATATATGGGTAATTTGCAGCTGAGCCTGGATTAATATAATAGTTTCACTGGTAGTAGGATGCCCAAGTGCCAGGAGATTAGAGAAAGTTCTCTATTGTATAACTTACCTATAAAAAGGATAAAGAAGCCCATAGTTTAGTAAACAGTAATATACCAGTGTCAGTTTCCTGGTTTTGATATAGCTATACATTATAGCTACATAAGATGTCTCCATTGGGGGAAGCTGGGTGAAGGGTACATGGTGAGACTCTTTGTACTGTTTTTGCAACTTCTACGAGTTAAAAAAAAAATTTTTTTTTAAAGACTCGGGGAACACTGACTTGAACACCATCAGGGTAGTAATACCAAGATTTGACTTCCTCATGGCTAGTTAACTCTGTGGTTTGTGTGTAGCCAGAGAGTCACTCCATGTGTCAATGTGTGTATCATGTTCACAAGGAAGACCAGTGAAGATTATATAGCTAGATTGCCCAAATTTATTGCCACTGTGTGAAAAATAACTTAAATATGATGCTTTGCAAGTAACTCATTGTTATGAGACATGCCACATTTGTAAAGTTATTACTATTTATTAGGTCAAGTGCTTTGGCATTTTGTAATCAAGGTAGCTTCCCAACTTTAACACTTAACGGGCAGAATTCTGAGGTTGATTTGCCATTGGAAAAATACAGAAATGTCCATTTTATAGTTAAAATATGATTGAGAAGATTTATGGAGATTGTTCAAATTGAGTAGATGTTGAAAGATTGGTACTTATTTTTTTTTTAAGGTACTTAAGTGATACTTTCTATGATGATATATGGAAAAACTGCTCTCATTGGGAGCACAGAAGCATTAGTATTTGGGTATTTTCAGATCGAGATGAACTAGATTAACCCCAAAGGGTTCCTGTTTGTAGTTTATCTAAACAGTGTGGCAAAAATATTACCTAGTATCCTTAATGATAGCACATTACAGCTTGTTGGACTTTTGCATCTGGAGAAATGGAGTAGAGTTCCTTTTCTCTAATCTTCCTGCTAAATATAGTGACAAATTCTGAACATTATATAGAAAGCAAACATATGGTGACTGAAAAGTGGAGAAAAGAAGGAAGACTGACTAGTGACCATGGAACCAAAGAACTATAGTTAATGTATGGTGGTTAAGTTCCCTCGTTTTTGTTTTATTTTGTGGTTTTTTTTT